GGCCGCGACAGGCCGGCAGGCTGCAGAGCGCCGCGCCGGTGGTGGCCCTCGCGGTCAGTGTTTTGGCGGACGCTATCGCGGCCGGGCTACACCGCCGCTCCCAACCTCCTCCGCGGGCCCCTAATCGTTTAATGCATTTCCCCGAGTTTCTATCGGTGTCTCCCTTCCGTTTTCACATCCCCGTTCTGGGCGGGTTTAGTGGAACAGCCTTCACGACGTCTCCATCTAAATGCAGAATCTTTGCGGCCACCGACGACGACTGCCAGCCGCGTAGTGAGCCGCGCGTTTGACAGGATGTGGATTTTGTGAAAGGCGGGGGAGGAGCGCCTCTTGAAGGCGGGTATAGGAGCAGCGAGCAGCGCCAAGGTGAGTCAGGCTGCCAGTGCACGGAGCGGTTTGACCCCCGACTCGAGCGGTGCCATGCGCCGTGCGGTGTGTAAGGTCAGTGCTGGCAAAAAGGTGCCGGCTGCCGGCTTAAAAAATGACTGTTGCCTTGTGTTCGGAAAGGCCTATTTTCGGGAAGAGGCACAGGCGGGCCGTTATTTGTTAGCGCGACGCTATCCAGGCCTCGGCCCAGTCTCGTCGGTGCCCTACCAGAGATTGACGACTGTGACAAGACAGCTTCACTTGGTCAGCCCTTATCGAGGGCCGGGCCTGACTGTTCCACGTCCTCTCCACGCGCCAACGCCGCGGCGCCGGAGGAGCAAGAAGGCCGAATGACAACGGCGAAATCAGATTCCTTTCCTTTGGCATTTCCGCGACCGACCGGAGTCGCCCCAGAGGTCTGCCCGCTCGGTCCGAGCGTCGCGGCGTCGGCGGTGGCGGTGATCCCGATGTAGGGGAGTTCAATTTTTCTAGAAAGGGTTTTAGCGGGATAAATTTTAAGAATCTTTTCCGTCAAATTTTATTTTTCTATTTTTTCTACGCATATTTTTATTTTTGATTTTATTTCTGAGATAGTTTCCTAAGTTTCCTATAAGTTTAGACTTACTTAAAATTCCTCTGCCACTGAGAGCGTTGCCCGGAGCGCTGGGCGCGGAGCTCAGCCCCGGCGCCGCTCGGCGCGTGTAAACCTATCTGACCTTTTGATAGACGCAGCCCGCCGGGCGTCCTGGGCAGCGCAGAGCCGAGGCAACCCGCGGCCGCCGATGACGGGGTTAGGCTTTGGGCGAGAGGTCGTTGGCATCAGCGAGTGCAGCGGTGCGACTGCTATGCACCGTGATGGGGGGGGGGGCGTCTTGTGCATGTTATCCATGGAGCGTGAACTGGATCACGCCGCCCCGCCC